CACCCTACAAAAACAGAAAGGAACACTGGGAGATTGCTGTTTTGACAGTGCAGCCTATAGCTTAGTGTATTGTAGTAGGAACTGCAGGCCACATTCCTGCCACCCGGCTGCCAGCCGCCTGGCTAGCTTATGCCCCGAAATAATTACACAGAAACTGTATTCTTTTAAACACTGCCTGGCCCATTATACCTAGCCTCTTCTTGGCTAACTCTCATATCTTGTTTAACCCATTTTTATTAATCTGTGTAGCACCACGAGGTGGTGGCTTACCAGGAAGATTCTTAACCTGCTTCCATCTCAAAGAGGAGAGGCATGGAGTCTGCTTCACTACCCTTCTTCCCAGCATTCTGTTCTGTCTACTCCGCCTACCTAATTTTCTGTCCTATCAAAGGGCCAAGGCAGTTTCTTTATTAACCAATGAAAGCAACACATAGAAAGAAGACCCACCTACATCAGTGTATGTCACCCACATCTGCAAAATGCTAGTGGCCTTCCACCTGTGACTTCAGATAGCAGCAAATGATGCCACCGTGCTCACCTTGTTCTTCTCTAGACTGCTATCTATTATAAACATTTCATGCACACATCTCACCAAATTCGCTGTGGAGGTTAATTTTCATGAGCCACGTAGCTGGATTTAGAGTCACCCACCAGACACACCTCTGGGTATATCTGCAAGGTCTTTTCTAGAGAGATACAAATGCAAAATAAAAACTTGTCCCAAAAGATGGGGCTGGAAACATCTCATAGGCTGAGATGACAGACTAGCTAAAAGGGAAAAGAAAGAGAGCTGAGGGGCAGCAGTCACTTCCCTCTGGTGCAGACACAATATGAACAGCTACCTCACACTCTGGCCACCAGGCCTTCCCCATCATGATGCACTGCCCTTTCAAACTATACAGCAAAATAAGCCCTCCCTTGCTTAAGTTGCTTCTTTTTATGTATTTTTGTCCTGGCAACAAATAAGAAGTAATATGCTCTCTACAACACAGATCGGGTCACTCATCTTCTACCTAAAATATCTCTCTATAGAGTAAGGTCCAGAAGTTCTCCGCATGCATACATGACCCTGAACAATATAGGTCCATCTACACACACACATACACACACACACACACACACACACACACACACACACACACACACATTCAACGCCTGTACTACTCACTCTCCCAAAAATAGAACTCAGGCATCTGGCAGTCCTTCCTCCACTGCCACCTTGTAATATAAACTGATACCAAGCACAAGGGCAGCCTCTGTGCATCAAACAAGACAATGAATGTTTTATAAGACACCAAACATCAAATTAATATTAATGGCAATAGCAATAATGATTTCCTTTTAAGTAATTGATTGATGTGAAGAAATAGCCAAGCCAGTTTACATGCAGTCAGAATTCTATATTTTTCTTCAGAAAAACAATTCACCACCAATGACAAATAACAATAGAGCCACTAAAACTACCTGCCATGTGTCTAATGAAGACAGATTCTCTGGCTACCATGTATAATTTGTAATATCCAAAAGTGCTGCTATAATTCATAGCTAATTAGTGTCTCGCTTTTATGAGAGGTGTCATGGCCCTAAGTCTCTTTTCTGATCTCCTCAGACCTCACAAGATCTGACAACCATGTGTAGATCACAACAACCCAATTAGCACCCACCCCAACCTTGGGCTGCTGCTTCCCAGGGCTGCCCCAGCCTCAATAAATCATGCTCTGTCATGAAGCTCTTCTCTGACAGCTGCAAGCCATTGCTGCCCAAGGAATAAAGACAACGCTTGTGAAGAAAAGTCATACAGGGGAGAGAAAGATAGAAAAGGAATGTTGTTTACTTTCTTTTTAATGGCACAGCAGTCAGCAAAATTGAAGACCATCAATTCCCGCTGATTAAGAAGACAACTGCACTAAGAAATCAATCTATGAGTGGTCCATCTGACGTTCCTTAGTGATAATCAGCTGTCAGCAATTGGATTGTTTGTTTGTCTTATGTGGATCTATCGAAGCCCCTTTCTTTCCATTTCTCCATTGCATAGCCTTCTAACTAATAAGAGAATTTCCCTTTCAGCAGAACATAATCAGATGCATTTACTTTATCCCGTGTGAATACACAGCAATCAGATAATTTGTTCGAAAGACTCTAAATTGTTTGACTCCATTGAAAAAGAATCTATAATGATTTGCTGGTCTCCGAAGCAGTTCTACAGTGCTTCCTAAGACCATAAGCAAGCTCTGGAGTATTCACGGCTTACAGCAGCCAATATCCTTCTAATTCTCTCCTAAGCCTCTCAAGCTGTTTTGTTCCAGAATACTCGCTGTAGGGAATATTCTGAAGAGTCACTGTAGCCCCAGCGTTATTCAAAGATATGTATGAGTCAGGTGACTCTACTTTCAGTTTGCTTTCCCCGTGGAAATATTCTTCTATATCTTATGCTTATATGAAGCATTTAATTTAAATTTAATAAGCAACTATGACCAAATTGGATATATAAATATTGAGAAAGTCAAATCAACAAATATGGATACACTTAAAGAAGAAATGCTCTTATAGCTCTTTTTATTCAATATCTAGATTTCAAAAAGATTTGATTTGTCCTACAGTGAAAATGGTATTTCAATGAAAACATTTAAATATTAACCTACAGAGACTCCATGTGGACCATTTTTATAATAGAAAAATAATTGAAAATAACAACAATGTATAGAATATGAAACAAGTCAAATAAAAATGATGATTTCCCTCATGCAAATGTAAAGTTATGTAACTTCTAAAATGTTAATACAGAGTAATAAGAGCATGCAGAAACATTCATAAAATATCACAAATCATAGATGACTTCACATCACACACATGTAATTATATGTGTCCATATGTTTATCATACACATACATGTTTGTGTTATAAATATAGGTGTACATAGGTGTGTATTTCATTGATTACATGATCATTTCTGTTTTATTTCCTGTGTATGGAAATGTCCATGCATAAATATGTATACATAAAAAAATATAGGTTAATTATAGAACAAAACAGTAGAAAGAGTTTTTCAGTGTTGAAAATGTATCCCCAATAGGTAACATTCAAGACTGCTCTTTTAAATGGTTTTCTGTTTTTATATACATTTGCTTCATTGCCAGGAGTAAAGCTATTATATAAAATATTGGCTTCTACTTCTACCACCTAGATTTACACAGGTGTCTACTACTGTGAAGTCCCAACCTGCCAGGGTATCTCTTCTGAGTGAACAACCCCAATGCTAAATGATTTCGTTACTGTTTTAAGTGTCAGCAACATCTCAAAAAATCTGGGATCATTCCGCTTAGGGATATCTCAAGAATAAAAATCAGAACAACCCTCATCCTCATCCATGGCGCTGAGCAGGAATAAGGCTTTGTTCAGCTGATCCTCGAATACCATATCAATTCAGTTCCAGAACCACCAGGAACTAAGTACAGACCCAACACTGTGGGAGCCCACGGATGTGGATTCTTTCCACCTTGAGCAAAGGTCAGAAAGTTCAGGCCTATTCTTGCTCCTTCAGGGATATTGACAGGTGGTTTAACCCAAGGTGTGACTATTAACAGGATGTTCTGACTTAGGGTGTGGTTACGTGATGCTATGGGTATTGAGAAGGTGATTACTTTGTTTGTTCCTTGTATCATGGTAAAGAAGCCTCTTGTCTTCCCCTTCCTTTTTGGATTGAGGTATATAAAGTCTATGAGAAATGAACAAGGAACAAATTTCAGTATTCACACTGGGTTGCCCTCCCGACTCTATCCTGTGTCTGTCTTTTATATCTTTAACTTTTCTACCTTCCATTTCTTAATCCTCATGTTTCCCTTTAAGCATGGACTAGGAAGCCAAGCAGGACCCAGCTGATGTTGTCGCCTGAATGGACACGGATACAGCACAACATAAAATCTGTGTCTGCATCACCTATATCAATATATCAATGCCCTTGAGTCTTCCTAGTGCCAACCTGTGTTCCCAAACTTTGAGACCACAGGATTGTAGAAGGATGAAGGATGCCAAATTTGCACAACATGGCCAGAGTTCTTGTCTGAATTCTTAAAAGGTGACATTGTGTAGGTCACCGTAACTTCTAATGAGCCAAGAAGACATCATAAAAACACAAGATCATCATTAACATAAAACATGGAAACAGACATGAAGGGAAACAAAATCTCTCTGAACCCCCCTAAATAAGTTTTATCTACTCAGAAAAACTGACCACATGCTTAAAAGGATAATGACATATACATGTATGTGTGTGTGTATATGTGTGTGTGTGTGTGCATGTATTAGACATAAAGAGATCTAAAGAAGGCAAGATAGAGAGTTTCACACCCAGAGGCAAGTTGGTGTGGCAACTCTAAGTAAGGATACTCTGCATTGCTGCATCTGGCCTGGAACATAGCCCCGTGAAAGCAGACATGCCTGTCTGCAGTTGTAAAGATGCATCTTAATTCCCCCAAGTTTCTGTTTTTCCTTAGGGCAGCACAGCGATGCATTTTGCCTTGAACTGAAAAACCATACTTGGCAAAATTATGCATCCAGTAGGTTGACTAAAGGAATTTTCATCCAACATTTCAGTTTTTCCTACTTATTAGATAAAGACAAGTGAAAACATAGAAGAGAAAATGGGAAGGAGGAAAGAGAAAGAGAAATTAAGTTTTTACAAAGTTGGTTTGACAATTTTTCTTCCTTCTTGTCATTTCTCCAGAAGGATACTAGACAATGCGAACCCCAACCATGTGACCCTGGGCTTTTTATTTCTTATAAATAGTTCATATATTGGGAACTGTTTGTAGAAAGGTCTAGTCATAGGGGCCCTTATCTAATTCTCATTACTCTTGAGCAGTTCAGCGGGTTTAATTTTGGTGAAATTGTGAATAAGAGAAATCTTGAAAATCTATCATTAGCACACTAAAGTTCACATAGAAAGCTCTTGACTGCAAACTTTCAAACTCCTATTCCATGCTGCAGAGCAATGCCCCTACCTGAGAGGGAAAAGTCACCCTTCTGGCTTTCACTCTCTCTGATCAGAAAGGAGCCCGTCTGGTTTTCCGAATACAGTAGTTGCCTTTCTGCATCTGCTCTTTTGATTGCTCCAAAGAACCACCTGAAGAGGAGAGAGACATAAACCCCAATTAACCAATCAGTCATTTTAAAAACAACAAGAAGTGAACATTGTAACGTCAGAAACATTTGCTATTCCTTCAGTGAAACCGTCACACACGAATGGTAGCTTTCGATACTTGAGTTGCTTTTTCAGATGGTGGCAACTCACTCCAGGATTCTTAAAATGAGAGTACAACACAGAAATCTGACTGATGCTTGCTCCATACCCTTCCTCACCCTTAAGCCTTCTTAAGGTCTTATGCTCATATAAGCGTGGCCACAAAGGGCTGCGTGTTACACTCACTGTCACCACCAAACTTCCACCAACAGATGGGGAGGGGAACTAAACATCCTTTCTCCATTATTATGTCGTTTTCCCCACCTCCATCACTACCAAAGCCCACGGTAATATGGAATTATCTCATGCTTCTGGGAAACTTATTAACATAAGTGAAACTTTGATCGGTGAGTGGACTCTATAAAGGTACTTCTCTGGCAATATGTTCTCTGTGCTACACCCATCTCTGCCTTTGCACACACACACACACACACACACACACACACATGTTCTCACAAATCGATTCTGTGAGTCAGATACTAAACACACAAGCTTGTGAATGTGATCAAATCAAGAATTACAGATCTTCAATGTATAATTCTAAGTCAGTATAATTCTAAGTACAATTGTAAAATCTCAAATCCAAACACAAATTAGTGCAAAGGATAAATGACTCAGTGAACATTGTTAAAAATCCATGTGAAATAAATTTATATATAGACATAAATTAATGTATGCTGCCTTCAGAATATATAATAATTTCACAAGAAGACCTACTAAAAAGTGAATTCTAAAATTTTCTGAGGCTATTGGGACAGAACGACAAACCCCCTCCAAAAATATCTACAGGAAAAGATAAGCTAGACTAATTGGAAAACCTAATATTATTTTGAATATTCATTACAACACATCTTAAACTTCAATTAAAAAAATACTATTAAATAAAATTAAGACATAAGTCATAAACCTTTTAAAATATTTGCAAAATATATGACCAAAATATGAGCACTATTTAGCTTTATTGAAGGGTCAACAATCAATAAAAGACAAAGCAGGAGAAAATTGGCAAAGGCTATAAGTGCATAATTCACAGAAATAAAAAACTCAAGAAACTAATAAAAATAAGCAGCATGGCCAGTGCCTATGCCACAACCAGGTATTATAAACAAATCAAAATGAAGTTTAAATTCATATTTTATAACCGGACACCACAGTCCTCCTATTGTCATGTGTGTGGGAAAATGTCAAACAACATTTATGTGGTTCTCGTGGCAATATAATTTGATATAACCTATTCAGAGACCAATCTATCACCAGCTAGTGGAGTTAGGTATTTGTGTGCAGCTCAGATTTACTTCCTGACTCTGTGTTTAATGTGCTCAAGAGAATAGGCAACAAAAAAATTCACTGAAGAATTTTAGCATTGGCACACAGAAAACAAGTGCAGGGAGGGTTCCTCAGTGGTAGAGCATGGTCTTAGCATGCTCTGGGGCCTGGGATGGATCCCCAGCACCATCAACACAAAGGGCAGAACCTGAATATCCATCCTAGAGAATTACCAGTTACAGGAATTGAGCAGAACTTTACACAGAGGTTAAAATAACTAAATCATAATGGCACAAAAGGAAGTTGAAGAACGAATCACACCATTATGATATCATTTGTATAAAACTTAAACAAGCACATTTTCAAAAACTGTACACATATTTATAAATATGTACGAGCTTATTGAAAATGAATTGTTCAAATAGTCAAGCATTTCCAGAAATGGTAAAAATTCTCCATATATTTCCAGCAAAGAAGCAGCACAAATGAAATATACTGATCAGCTTGCTGCATTTTCCTGATTCAAAGGGCATTGATCATGCATTAATTTATGTAGCAAGTTACATTTTTTAATTATGGTATCTCCTATATTTTATTTCCATGCATAAATACTTTATTATATAAAGTTTTATGTGCATACATTACGTTTGTATTTGGAATAATTATCTATTAGTGATGTGTATCTTCTACCCAAAATATATAGAAGTAAGCAGCTGGTATAAACTCAGTGATTAAAGATAAGGCAATCCTCATTTGTAGAGAAACTATTTACTCATTTTCAGAAATGCTGTCTCAGAAATTCTGAACTTCCGTTTACTACATAGATACAATTTAAGTGTTTGACTGAATGTATCTGTTTATATCATCCTTAGAATTTTTCTTGGCTTCACTCCCATCAGGAAGGGAAGAATATAAATAAAAAGATATTTTCTGCCAGGAGTGGCATTATAATGCCCTCCTTCATTCTCAAAGATGACGCACCTGCTGAGAATTGCAATCTTTAGAGCGTGTGATGCCATTGAGTTTAACGGGGAAACAATAGCCCATCCTACCCTTTGCATCTGCGGAAACTCTTCCTTAGTTTGAGGTTGAAGCTCCTGGCAGGAATATTGCTCTCATTGGCTCTTACTTTTAGAGATTCCGCCGGCGCCATTTCTGGGAGGACATGAACATCAAAGCCATTTCAACCCTCTCCTCAATTGCTGTTGTTCTTCTGAGCAGTGAACAGTAGGGACCAAGAAAAGATCCAGACATCATAGGACGTGTGACCTGCATAGAGAGTCTACAGACCTCAAAACGTGATCTCTAGGCTTTGCATGGAAACACTAAAATGAGAACTCTCTGGCCTCAGTCCAGACTTGCTCAAATAGAGAGTCTGGGGACTGTAACCCAGGAATCATGAACTTAAGAAACCTTCCGAGTGATTTGACATACCCTAAAACCTAGGAGCTCTAAATATATAGAAATAGTCAAGAAATTAAAAAATTGTACAAGATACCCAAAAATAAATCAAAGTTTGACACGTAGTTGTGACAAGGGTTATTGTGTAAATGACCCCACATACATCCGAACACATACTCTGTGTTGACAATGAAATTACTGTTTTTATTTTACCATACCATTACATGGAGAAGATACTAACAGTAGCCAACAGAAGATATCAGATATCTAAGATACTTAGATACTAGGAGAAATAAGTGTTTCCTAGAGAAAACAAATGCCTGTTGTGGAGGTAAGACACACATGATCAAACCCTGAAATGTGTTATGTAAATATTCATCAGGTGTCTATCCTACTGACATGGGATATAGTGAGCCCACTGTTGAACAAAAAGGGTAAACTTCAGAGCAATAGGAATATTCTATTTCTTTATATTATAAAAACCAGTGAGATGAGTATCCATCTCTGAGATTAATGAGAGATGGTGTAAATCATGACAGAGGACCCCCAGTTTTCACTCTGTATTCTCTATAATGGGAAGGTTGCTGATAAGATGTAATTTTTATAGACAATTAAGAGAAGTCACTTAAGAGTACACTGCAATAACTACACGTTATCAGGTCAATGCTCAAAATGTTGACAATCAAAACTGATACAGCCAGGTGGTGGTGGTGGCCCAAACCTTTAATCCACTCAGGAGGCAGAGGCAGGTGTATCTTTATGAGCCTTAACAGCAACATCAACTCGTATAAAGTAGACATCTAGGTCACTCTTAATTCTAAACAGATGTATGTAATTTCCTCCTACAGTTTAAAGAGAAGCACCACTCCCCGTAAATGCTGAGCTAAGTGAATAAAAGCTGACCTATAATGTCTTCTTCTGTCTTGCTAAAAGGGAAGGCAGCTGCAGCTGGTCCCCAAACACTGCAGACAGATCCTGGAGGTGAGGGAGAGACTATGTCTCATGAGCAAACAGGAAAAGTACAGGTTGACTTGGCAAAATAACCTATGTGGCAAGTCGGTTAGAAGAGCACGTCAATGGAGTTGGTCTCAGGATGCCTGTGCAGCCGGCATCAATCACTACACTTAGTACCTGTGTGGGTGGGGAGGCTTCATGGCACTGTGACAGAACACTTGTGGTATTCAGGGTGCACTGATCCACATCGGGTGACTTATCGTATCTAAACAAAACCCGCCCATCTAGAGTACCCTGGAGCTACTCTGTTTCTGTATCGATGTATCACTCACCCGCATTATGTTTAACAACACTGCCAGAAAGGCCTCTGTCAAGTTCCTGTTCCAAGTAATCCAGCCAACTTGTCTCACCTACATCTGCTGTATCTAAATCTATACTTAAACTCACTTCCCCAAAAGGCTGACAGTATTCAGAGACTGCCCTTCAGGTTTGACCCAAAGTATGACAAATTAGTGCGCCAATTTTTTTTTATTTATTTTACATCCCAACCACGGTTTTCCCTCCCTCCTATCCTCCCAGTTCCCCCCACCTCCCCTCTACCTCCCCAATCCACTCTTCCTCTGTTTCTGTTCAAGCCTCCCACAGATATCAACTAAACATGGCATATCAAGTTATAGAAAGGCTAAGCACCTCCCCATGTATTAAGGTTGGGCAAGGCAATCCAGTATGAGGAAGAGGGTCTGGAAAACCAGCAAGAGTCAGAGACAGCCCCAGTTCCCACTCTCAGGACTCTCACAAAAAGACCAAGCTATACAACTGTCGGATACATGCAGAGGACCTAGGTCAGTTCCTTTAGTGCACCAAATTTTAATTTACTTGTTTATTTTAAGTAAGTCATTTGTCGCTAAAGACCTATCTAGGCCAAGGACCACATATAATACCCTCACGGATCTCTGGTAGAAAATAGTAGCCATATGTCCTTTGCAGTTATTAACTAAATGCTTGATAAAACTATTGATGCATTGAACTTTGGCATGGGATTTATAGTCATATTTATTCTGAACATTGAACTTTAGATAATGTGTTTTCATGTAATCTTCCATGCTTGCCGGAAAGCTTGAACTATAAAATGCCTCTGTGCTAGCATCCAGTTGCTGTGCAGTTCCCATGTTGATTAGCCTAGAGCATAGCTTCCTATTTGAACTCATTTTTCTTCAGAAAAACATAAAGCTGTTGTACAGGAGCATGAAGACAGAAATGAG